GTGAGAGACATGCGTCTTATTTTTGAATTATATTTTTAACATACGAGTATTCATATATTTTACATAGCAGTTGTTGTTGTGGGAATAAATAGAAAAAAGGACAATTTTTTTTAATTTTAATCCATTTTAATAAGCTATATCTTTTCGGATTTTGTCGCGGATTTATTTGGATTTTTGTTTCCCGACGTTGCATCCATGGTCACGGGAGAGACTGAGGTGTTACATGTCTTGAATGTATAGTTGTTACAGACAGCCTACCCACAATTAACAAAATGAAAATTGCACCAATTACATTACAATATTTTTTAACTTTAAACATTTTTATAATTTTAATTATAATTGAATATGGAAAATTATTTATTTAATTTTGCTATTATTTTTATAATTATTACAATTTTAAAATATTAATTAGTAATCTATATTTAGTGTTGCCATTATTATATTTATAATCATAAAGAAAAATATAAAATGTAGTATTAATTATTAAAGCCATATAATTGTTCTATGTGTAATTTAAAAAGTTAAAATTAATTAAGGATAATAATTTTAATTTAGTTTGCTATTATTTAAAAACAACTTACTAAGCAACACTATTAATATATACTTTTACAAATGAAAAATGAAAAATATTAGTCTGATAAGCTGTCATTTTGATCTACACAGTATGAACTTACTACATCTGCCTGTCTGTTATGTTTATATTTATTATTTGATTTTATTATATTAATACAGGATCCTGTCTCTCTAATTCTAAAAATCTCATTGCTGTAAAGCATTTCAAAAGACGAAAAAATGAAAAGGATATTTTTTTTAAAAGTCAAATATTCCCTCTCGTAAATCTAATAAACAAATTGCTTATTCTCTAAATAGAATTAGGTCTTGAATCTTAAGCACAAGTAACGTTTGCAAACTTGTAAGGACGAGAGTGTTCAACTAGTTTACGTATTATTAAGCTTGAAAGGCTTGTAGTTAAACTTCGTTAAGAAATAGGTATAATATAATTAATTGTCTTCAAATTAAAGGATTTCAAAGTTTAGAACGAACAGAAGTATCAGTAGTAGTTTAAAGTTATACGAAAATATTGTTTCTATTTTTATTAATAGTTATTAATAGTAGTCATATTTTCTTTACCTAATAATACATATATACGTATTATTATAATTATAAAAACGAGTAAACAAATGTAATTTTTAAAAATTAACCTTATTAAAGTTTCATACTTATACGTTACTAGCGACTCACCCTCGCTTCGCTCGAGTTCGTCCCTAGGTTGGTTCCCCATACAAATTTTCATCCCCATTTTCATCCCTTTAAGGAATGATTTCCAGGATCAAAAGTATCCTGTGTCCTTCCCAGGGTCGCGAACTATCTTCTTATCAAATTTTATCTAAATCGGTTTAGTAGATCCAGAGATTACCCCCTACAACGTCATAAACTCACAATTCACAAACTTTACCTCTTTATTATATTATATATATTTTTGCTGTAGTTTATTCTGTGTTTGTACATGATTGTGCATTAAACAAGTATAATATTTTATACTTGAACGTTAGCGATGAGGTTTCTGTAAAAAATATTCCTACAGTAAAAGAAATTTAGCTACTTTCGAAGTAAAGGAAAATACTGGCAACGGCAGAAAGCCTGCAATAATATATTTATAGCTTGCACGAAGTGCAGAAACAATATATTAGATGCTGTGTTAGAAATACAGAAACCACAATCTTATTTTATTTTTTACACATTATTTTACTATTTTAGCAAAGTTCCATGTAAAATTGAAGAAGCAAAACGTTAAAGTTAGCTCCTTAAAATTCTTATAATTATTATAGTCAACCATAGATTTAACCATAGATCTAACCATAGATTAGATTTCTAGAATCTAGATCTACTAGAATAAAAAAAAACCAGACTGCGTAACAAGCTAAATAAATATGAGAACAGGTTGACGAAGAAACATACATATTACAGGATTTATTTAATATTTAAGTATTTAATGTTAGAAATCATAAAACTTTAATTTTAGTCTGTAACCTACAAGACGCACCAAGAACGCAAGCAAAGCAACAGAAAGTCACTAGTAAAAAATAAAACAATGTCTTATACAAAAAATATTTATTTAAGTGTCTATCCGTAATAGTACGAGTAAATGACAGTTTTGTCTAAAATATCACAAAAACAAGAGTTATAGTTCAAAAATGGTTTTTTTTATATATTTATACATATACTCGTATACTAGTGGTTTACTTATTAGGCTACGTAAAGCTACATATTTTTCATCACTGGCCACCACAATATCAAGATCGGGTCATATCTGCCCAATCATCTTTGACTAGTTGGAAAATATTACAAAAAAATATATATAATGAATATCCTGCTTTTTTTTATAAAATTAAGCATTATTTTCCATATACTTGTACATAGCTAGCGACTCACCCTTGCTTCGTTTGAGTTCGTTCCTAGGTTGATTGATTCCCCATACAAACTTTCATACTCATTTTCACCCCTTTAAAGGATGCTTTCCGAGATAAAACTATTCTATGTCCTTACCAGGGTCTCAAACTATCTTCTTATCAAATTTCATCTTAATCGGTCCAGCAGTTTCGGAGCTTATTCGGTACAAAGAAACAAAAAAACTTTTCCTCTTTAAAATATTAATATGGATGTATGAAAGTAAGTTAAAATCTTTTTATATATTTAACAGAAAAAATACAGCTCCAATTTTTTTTAACTCTACTTTTATTTCAAAATATTACATTATTGCTAAACATTCTTTCAAAGAATAAATTGAAATACAATCATATATTTTTCTTTCTTTGTATATAAATATTTCAAAATATTTCTATTAACACATTGAATTGCTTCCGTACCCTAATAATTACAAGACAACCACTCTTTGTACAGAGTGTAAAAGAAATCATAATGACGAAACGTAACAACCGTAAAACAACTCTACCAGCCTCGATATTTCTAATTTGGGCAGAAATGCCGCTCTTTTAGGAAATAGAAGTTAATTTCTCTCTTCCTTAAGGATGAAGACATGTTTTCTTGAAAAATACAAAGAATAAATGAAGCCTATCAGAGCGCCCTGAGCAATTTTATTTTCTAAAGCGCGCTCTTTAATTCATGATGACTGAGCTTACAACTGTTCTGTAACAATTGTTTTGTTTTTGCATCTCATTATGAGATTATGTTTTTGGGTAAATCGTTTAAAACTTATTTTTTATCAAAGATGGCTATAAATAAAAATAATAATAGATTTATGCAAATATTTGACATTTTAAATAAAAATATCTTTTCGGATTATTTCGCGGATTTATTTTGATTTTTGGTTCCCGACGCTTCGAATGTTTTACAGCAACCATGGTCACGGGAGAGACTCTCATCATAAAAGATAGTTTTATTTAAAATAGCTATTTTAATTGAATAGTGGTCGAAATTTGTTCAAATCGATAAAGCATTATTGAAAATTTGCGAAAAACAAACATAAATGAATAGAATTTACGTATCTACCCGTATATAGAAAAAAACTGTTTCTAAAATTTTTTATTGATAATTTTAAAGCTACCGAACTTCTACTAAATAAAAAAATAAATAAAAGAAAATCGGTTGACAAATACAAGACAAAAATGTACTGAACTGCTTTGCTTTTGACTGATACGATGAATTTATGAACGTTAAACTTTTACCATTTAACATTTATTTTGGTCTATAAGTATTACTTTTTACTAATAAAAAGGATTTCAGACTGAAAATTGGATAAATTTATTCCATACTGTGTCAAAAATTCTCAAGAGACACCATCGACATCGTGACTCTATCTCGTGTACGGTACCTCAACCAGATCGAACAAATATTTGTATTATTAACACAAACATTGTTACCGTTTTCGTCTTCATAAAATCGTATCCTTTCATTTTACTCTTGTATATTTATTTTGAGTAAATAATGTAAGCGTTCTCTGAATATGCGAAGTGAAACTTCGTCTTTTGTATGATACGAGAGCCTTTCTCATATCTCACATTGGAGAAGTACGCTTGTTTTTTGTTAATTAGGTGATTTAGTTATTTTTAAGTGATTAGTGAATTGTGATAAATGTTAATTATTTAGTATTCCAAATAAATCTCAAAATATGATATCTATTTTTACTTGATATGAGACTGCGCATAGACTAACCAGATCAGACGATCATTTGTATTTTATATTTTTTAACTTGCTTTTACCCGCGCCATAGCTCGCCCGATACGGTCGCGAAGGATTGTTTAAAAAACACGAAACACGTGTTTATTTATTTGTTGACAGGAGTAATACTGCGAATTCTCGAATTGATACATACAAATTTTGAACTTTTCACCACTTTAATTGAATTTTAAAAAAATAAATTTAAAAAATTTAAATTGGTTGAATTTAAAAAAAAAACCGTTCTTAGTGGATGCCTATGTCATAATCTGTGTGCTAAATATTTTTTATATAACTCATATTGTAATTAAATCATTAAGATTTGTTACAGTGGATATTTTTTACACTATTTTTTTCTCATTCAACGGGACATTATTTATATATGAAAAGATTTATAGATGTACAATTTTCACCATTTGTTTTGCGAAGGCCGGCCAAAATAGACAAACGACGAAGAGGGCGTCTTTGAAGTTTTTCTACTATTTGTATTGGCATGTATTTGGATCTTGGGTTCCTTTAATACCGTTAATGCCGGAACACTTTGTTGTTTGTTTGAAGTTGAAAAATCTTGTAAGAGATCCACAATTTTTTATCCATTTATTTGTTTCAAAATTAGTTGTACTATTGATTACTTTTATAACTGTGTATAGACTGAGTATTATTTTTGTATATCTCTATATATGTTTTTCTTTTACAGAAAAACCTATAAATTTGGACAATGAAGATAAGACGAAATAACACTGGAAGTGAATAAATGTGTTTTTGACAAGATAGTGAAGTGTAATTTAGTAAAATGTTAAGTAAATTATAGTATAAAGGAAGACATGATGGCTTGGAAAATTGGTGTGCTAATAATGCTATGGATCACAAATATTCCCTTGCATCGAGCCGATAACTTAGGTAAGAATTTGTTGAAATTTTATTATTCATAGTGACCTACTTGATTTAAAAAAGTCACCTGTGTGCCTCCCAATATAATGAGATATGTGTTCATTACATTTTATTGCGATTGGATCAAGCTTTTAGGTGCTCGGTGGCAATAAAAAAACTAATTCACTCACATATTTATAGAATTTAGAAAATCCATTTCAATAGCCAGTGCTGGGCTGCTTTTCTTCGTCATGAATTCACATGAGTACTGCTACTTCTCTAAGTTACCTATATTTTGTAATTTTACTAAAATCTGATATGATACTTCATACATAATATATACTTAATAACGTAGTTTAAATTGTGGACTTATATTTTGGCCCGCGACTCCACTCGATACAATATTTTGATAAAAAGTTCACTCGGGATAAGTTGCCTCTGTTTCAAATTTCACCCATATCCGTTGAGCAGTTACAAGCGTGATAAGTAATAAAAATCCACTTACGAGCTTTTACAACTATAATTTTAGTATGATAATAAAATAAATTGTATCAAGGATGTCTCATGTTTCTCTGAGAAAATATTTGTCTTTAAGAAAATCTATTATTATGTTAAAAAAAATGTTTTTAAATTAAAAATCTTATTATAAGAAAAAAAAATATGATGTTATTTCACCATATTCTTTGGTTATCTAAAATATATGCCAATAAATCCAAATTGCACAGTGATCGACGGAAACCCGGAGCTAAAAACCTTAATAAAAAATATTAGTTGGCTTAATTCGTATAAGCTCGTTATTTATTAAGATTAATTTATACCAAACCGAGTGAAACATTTTGGGTTAACATCTTTTTATCCTGAAATACACAGATCTAGAGGGCTATTAAATATAGATTAAATAGTTTATTTTCATTAATGCTTGCTTTATGTTATTTAAAATTACATTATCTAAATTTACGACAAGATACTTGTACTCGTTCTTTCTACTCCAAAGATAAATAAATAAATATAAATATGTTGGGACATTAACACACAGCGCCATCTAGTTCCATAGTAAGCTACGAGGCTTGTGTTATGGATACCAGGTAGTTGATACACTACACATACTTACATATTATAAATATAAGCATCCATGACTGGGGTACAAATATTCGTGCTCATCACACAAATGAATGCGCCCAGCGGGACTCGAACCCGCGACCGCTGGCAGTGCAAGTAGGGTCACTACAAACTGAGCCAAATGTGTCGTCAAAAAGATGTAACAGAGTGAGAGGAGGAGACAGAGAGTGAGAGGGACGCAAATATATTATGTTTTCAATGACATACTTTATTTCACATAATTACTTATAAATAATAGATATGTAAATATAATGTATTATAATTATGTAAAACACAATTAAAAAACTATGGAGTATACCTACACATATAATTAACGACAAAGTATTATTTTGTAAATTGCTTCTGCACTTCCTTCTAGACTTAATGTATTTAGCAGATTTTGCCCCTTTATTCAGTCAACATTATCCTGTTCCAATTTCAGTAAATTCAAGTATGATTTTGAAGTCATATTATAATAATTGAATTGAAAAAACATTTCGAGTTTCTTGAGATTTACCCAATTTTTCGACCTACATTATTTTTTCCTCTTAAAAACTTACTCAGACTCTATTTAAAAAAAATAAAAAAAAAATATTCTCACTGGAAATGATTAAAATAACGGAAAATAATTAATCTCGATAGGAGACATACCTACATGAAAAGCTTTTATTCTAGTATAAGAAAGGATTTCGAAAAGCTCGATAAAATATGAATAATAATTAGACCTCTTTGTTTCTTTTGTTAATTAAACCTGAACAAAGTTGCGAGATTTTGCTATAAAAAAAAACATAGGTTGATTGTAGATTATTTAAAATTAGAACTATTTCAAATGAAATGATTATTCTTTTATTTATAAAATGCGAGTAGCAGTTTCAAAACGTTTTAAAATTTACTATGCGAAAGAAATGTCTTCTCAATCTTACGTGGGAATTAATTTTTTTTTCGTACTTGAGGTATATATTTTATTTATTTAAGTTTATGTCTAATTTTTCTACAAATTAAAACGTAGTTAAAACTGATTGAAGCATTTTTTTTGAAATATTTGACTTGTTTGTTCTATTTCTGTTAAGATTAATTGGAAATATTTATATTTTAATCGAACATAAAAAACCATAAATAAAGCTCGAGCTTTTCGTCCTTTTATTATATTTATACTCATCTTAGTGATTTAGACTAAATAAAAAACACACATCGGGGAAATCGTTGACAAAAGTTATTATTTGCAGTATTTATTTACTAGTTTCGTCCAGAAATGACAGATTTTCATTACACAATAAAACACGCGCGCTACCTATACAGATGATGAGATGTCAGAATTCTTTACGAGCGTGCATATAAAAGCTCGCCACAGCTTAGGTCATGTGTATTGAAATGCACACGTTTCTAACATATAAACCGACAAACATACTAATTTTACGTAAAGTAATTTGATATATTATATACATGTATATAAAAATAATTTTATACTCAGTTTCCATCAACTTGGACTGTTAGCTTAGGACGGGCTTAATTGTTAATATCCTTGCAACTCGGTTCATCTTAACAGGTATTCAGAAAATTGATTAAGTACCCTGCTTGAATCGGGTTTGAGCTAATTTGATTAAGCTCTTTGTAAACGAATTTCCTTAAGTCAATATAAGGTATATTCACGTATTTATATTATAATAATAAAATAAATAAATTCTAAATTCAAATACTACAAAAATTTCATTTACATACTATTTAAATATATAATTTAAAAACTACTGAAGGTAGTTTGAGAAGAAATTTGGTCAAATAATATATAAGTTGAGTTATGAAATTTTTAACATAAGGCTGTATATTTTGAAATTCAGTACATATTTTGATTATTATAAGCATGTGTTTCGCGTTTTATTATAATATATTATAGGGTAACACTAATCTATACATATAATAAAATTGTAACTAAGCCGAATCTGTACATTAAATATTTTTTCGAAAATCTTATTGAAATAGACATTTTTATTGATACAGAGGCCGAATCTATAGTTTTTAGAATTTTTGTCTGTCTGCCTGTTTGTCTGTGTGTCTGTTTGTTACCGCATCACAGAAAAACCACTGGAGGGATTTTGATGTAATTTGGTATGGTGATAGCTGGTTATCCGGGTCAACATATAGGATACTTTTTACCGCGAGAAAATGTCTCATTTCTAAGTAAAAATACAAAAACTGCATTGTAAGAGATATGTAAAACCTAAGAATTTAGTTTTTGGTCATCTGAACGCGGGCGAAGCCGCGGGCAATGCTAGTATTAATAAATACCGCGCGTCTAAATCCGCACGTTACGTGTGTTGTCATAATATTAATACAATCAGTCAACGGCAAATAGCACTCGCATAATGAGAATTTCCCCTCCCCCATAATAAGAGTATATGTGTATTAGTATGTATGTATGGGATATACTAACAATTGTCAACCAATATTTTAATACTAGCGACTCACTCTTGCTTCACTCAGGTTCGTCCATGAGTGATTCTTTAAATTGTCATAACTTTTTTATTTATGAAACGAGTGAAATAAAACAAATACTAAATTTTAAGTAAAGCTTAACACAATACAGTAATGAAAACCGCACATAAATCAGTTAAGGCATTTCTGAGATTAGCGCGCACAAACTCACAGACAAACAAAAATTCTAAAAAATATTTAGTTAATAAACACTCCCAATAATATTTTTTCTCAGATATCATCCATGTACAGACAACGATCAGTTACACTATATATATATATATATATATATATATATATATATATATATATATATATATATAGATTGTTGTTATTTTTATTTTTAATGAATATCTTAATTATTCGTATTGTTGTTTCTGAAACAATTCTCTTCTAGAAGTGGAATAATTAACCTTAAAGTTACCTGTTTACTTAAAAAGTAATTATTTATTATTTGTTAGGCATACAATAGGCATTATAAGATATGGGTCTTTAAAAATAAACCAGGCGTATGGACGAAAGGACAGACACAGTAATTTTACTGGTCCGACCCCTTAGATACCTAACAAAAATATCTATTGTTATTAATGCCAATCGTCGTGCTATTGTGGAGTGTATACCTGAATAGCACTATTGATTTTGCCGGAGGTATAGATACGATTCCTACACGAGATAATTGTTTGACCGTATATAAATTCAGTTCAGTCTATTTAAAATAAAAACCTGGCGTTAAGTACCTACGCGATGTTTCTATGCCAGAATAAAAACTTTTTAACAAAAAAATAAAAACCGACTTCAAACAAAAGCACTAAAAAGTAAAAAATAACTGATTGGTAGTTTTCATTTACTATACATACCTAATCAAATATTTTCGAAGTCGGTGTGCTTTGCTTTGTATGGGCTGGCACCGATTTCGAAAATATTTGATTAGGTATGTATTTAATAGGTAGGCTTTACTTACTTAGCCAAAGCACACCGACTTCGAAAATATTTGATTAGGTATGTATAGTAAATGAAAACTACCAATCAGTTATTTTTTACTTTTTAGTGCTTTTGTTTGAAGTCGGTTCTTATTTTTTTGTTAAAAAGTTTTTATTTTTCCCTTTTTAGTATAGACAGTAGTAGCATAGTAAGGATTCTAACGTCTTGTCAAATCAAACAAAATAAGCCCAAACTCAAAGTATCTACTATTAGCCGTTGAAGAGTTCCACTTATCCACCTTCTGACCTTGCCATCAGATCAGGTCAACAACACAGAACCACTGTACTATCAACGGAAATAGAAATACTTGCAAAGTTTCAAGTCAATATGACAATTAGAAGTAGGTTAAATTCATCATTTGTTGTTTTTCCACCCTTAGGGGTGGTATTTTTTTTTGAAATTTTAATGGGACCAATCTGGAAGTATACCCTTTCAAACAAAACAAGAATTGCCCAAATCAGTTAATAAATGACGGAGTTCTG